TTATAATAAGACCATTGTCTTTCATATGCAGAAACCATCTCTGGAAGGTTGCTTGTATCTGGTAAGGAGGAAGGAAGATTGAGAACTGGGAATCTAAAAGCAGAAAAGAAGACTTTTAACTAGAACAACTTTAGTACAAATTGAATTTTGTAGTATTTACCATTTGCACATATTACTTTTTTTAAAACAACTTATAATCTCATCTCTACAAAAAATTTAAAAATTAGTGGAGTATTGTGGCCTGCGCCTATAGTCCCAGCTACTCAGTAGGCTGAGGTGGGAGGATCACTTGAGGCCAGGAGGTGGAGGTTGCAGCCAGCCAAGATGGTGCCACTGCACTCCAACCTGGGTGACAAAAGGAAACCCTGTCTCAAAAAAAAAAAAAAAAAAAAAAAAATTAGCCAGGCATGGTGGCACGCGCGCTACTCAGGAGGCTGAGGTGGAAGGAGTGGAAGGATTGCTTGAGTCCGGAAGGTCAAGGTTGCAGTGAGCCATGATCTCGCCACTGCACTCCAACATGGGCAACACAGTGAGGCTGTCTCAAAAAAAAAAAAAAAAGAAAGAAAGAAAAAGAAACAAAAAGAAATGTCCTACCGGACTGCAACTTATAAATGATTAAAATGGTAAATTTTATGCTACATGTATCTCACCACACACAAAAGGAAAAACAAATCACCTGGATCTTCCAAACACTATATATAGAAAGTTTTTGTTCTCACTCTGGATACACCTGCCCCATTCTCCTAGCACCTACAACTGCTTTTATATCTCAGTGCTATATGTTTAAAAAATATAAGTAACAATGTATGTTTTACCCATTTTCTTCCACAGAAGAAAACTCATTATATGTATTATCTTTATATGCCTTTGTTCACTTAATATAGCCTTCAAATTTTCTACTACTTGCCACCTCATTCATTTCTATAGCATTCTAGTATTCCATTATGAGAATCTACCAGTTTATCCAGTCCCTTATTGATGAGCCCCTGGATCTTTTCCAACATTTTGCTATTATAAAATATTCTTCAATGTTACATATGCAACCTGTTTCACTTTTTCAGAAATGTAGGATAATTCTTAGAAGAGGATTCACTAGATCAAATGAAAGCAACTGTAATTTTTTTTTCTCCCTTCCCCCCAGGAAGGCCGCCTTTACTCAGCCAGCGGCAGGAAACAGCCTGCTTTGGAGGTCAAATGGAGGGCTGGTGGGGCCGGCTCAAATCTTCTATCCCCAGCTCTTTTGAAATTCCAGATCCCTGGCTTTGTCTTAAGCAAAAGTACTGTGGAAGCTGCAGCATTTCCTCCTCCTTTCCAGAAACTGAGCGAGAAAAGCCACCCTGGAAGGTGTACAAACGCTGCCTCATGTCCAACAAACCACAGGACCTGGACGCGCTAACTGCAGCCCCACAGCCACCACCCACCAAAGCCTGGGGAGATTCCCCAGGGCAACTATTACTTTGATAAACATCTCCAAAGTATCCTTCATAAGTATTATATTATTTTGCATTCCAGCATTCCGTAAGTGCCAGTTTTCCCATAGTCCTGCCAACAAAGTTCTCAAATATTAACTTTCTGTAGCTTTTCACATTTCTTCTATAAATGACTTAAGCATGCTTTCATATATTAAAGTGTCATTGGTTTTCCTGGGAACTATCTGTTCATGACTATTGCTCATTTTTAACTAGGGTCTCTTGATTTTCCTTATTTTTTTTAGAAGCTTTTTATATATTAATGGAAATTAGCACTTAATATGCATTGCAAATATTTTTTCCAGTTTCTCGTTTCTCTTCTGACTTCATTTAGAGTGTTTTGACACAAAATATTTTATTTTTTAAAAAATTAATATTTAAATATTTAAAAATATTTTTTATGCAGCTGCATTTATGAATCTTATTTTATGGCTTCTATGTTTGAAGACAGAAAGATTACGATGTGTTTACAATTCAGTGAGCAAAGGATGGTTTCATTAACAAATGGAATACGTAATTAACTAATTAAGGCAGAGAAAAGAGTAAACCCTTTTCACTTAAATAGGTTAATTAAGAATTAAAAGACTTTGGAAGAACATGAAAAAATATACACAAATATACTGATTTGGTCTCAGAGTTCAGAATTCCTTTCTGAAAATAAATCTGTTAAGGGCAAACTGCCCCAAGAAGCTTCTTGGTGCTGCCCGCCCCTCCTCACTCTGCAACTCCTCTCCATGCTGTCCCAAGCCTTTTTACATTTCTAAGCCCTTATCTAGGTGCTGCAGTGAAGCCAGCAGACTTTACCTATCAGGCCTTGCTACTATAAGGCAAACCCCAATTACGAACCATCCGGACCACACAGGGGGAAGTCGTGGGAAGCATAAACAAACTTTACCTACAACCTCCGGTACCATAATGTGGCAGAATTAACCAGCAAACAACCCCAGGATGCAGCCATACCAAAGAACTCCCTCAAACTCCCTCCCCAGTATAAACCCTTCATTCCGTAAGCTAGCTGCTGCTGCCTCCTGTGTCTGTGATAAAGCAGCCAGTAGGTTTAATAAAAGCTTGCCTGAACTTGGGTCTTGCTGTCTTGTCCTTTCTCTCAGCTGAGCTTACAAAATCAAAAGTCAAATTTATTTACTTTACAATATTACAAATAACACAAACATGTTAAACTCAATTAAATTTTATGTCATGATACTTATCAATCTTTTATTTTCGGAATTCTTCTTTTGGTATTAGGAATAAGAAAAGGATTGACATGCTTAATATCCTTAATATTTTAAGCACTCTTTTCCTTTTTTTTTCTTTTTCCGGTTCAGGTTTGAGCACTGATAAGCACTCTTTAAAGAGAAACATTTTAATGTTTTGGAAGTGCTTTCCATAGTAATAAGCCTATCCTCCCTTGACTACTCAGCCCAGCTGACTAGCCTAGCTAGGAAACAGCCAGTCAGGCTGACAGTTAATAAGAACTCAAGCTCATGCCTGTATTTACAGTGCTTTAGGAGGCTGAGGTGGGAGGATCACTTGAGGCCCTTAGATCAAGACCAACCTGGGCAACATAGCCAGACCCCATTCTCTAACAACAACAACAAAAATTAGCAGGGGGTGGTGGGAGGCTGAGGCAGGAGGATCACTTGAACCCGGGAGTTCAAGGTTGCAGTGAGCTATGATCACACCACCGCAATACAGCCTGTGCAACAGCTTGTACAACCCTGCCTCCAAAAAAATAACCCAAGTTTTCAATATGCATAGCCACATATAAACTAGAACTTAAGACCTAAGGATTCATGTGAAAGCAGAAACTGAGTAAGTAGAAGCCCTAGGGTAGAGAAGGGCATAGAAAGTCAAACAAGAGAGCAAAACAACCTGAGGCAAGATGATGACAAAGCAAAAATGCAGAGCAAACATGAACGCACACACGTACACACACATAGTTTCTCCAGATGCCTTGATTTCCTAATAGCTTTCTAGTTCCCCTTACTGAGAGGCATAGCTACATGCCGGGTCCTTTAGTGGGTTTCCAGTAAAATCCCTGTCTCCCTTACTGCTCACAATCCCTTGCAGTCTTGCTTATTACAGCCCCCTTATTTGATCTGGCATTTGTGTTCTTCACAAAAAAAACTTTACTAAAACCAGAGGCAAAATATAAAAATGCATCTGTCATCTAATGAAGAATAAATCTAGTCTTTGTCTCCTGTTCCTGGTACAGAGCTTCAGAGAGGCTTGGGATTTCCTGATTAATGGAAGTATCTTTGTTATTCATAAGGAGCCCCTATGGACTATACCTGAGTTTATACTTGGGGACGACTCAAGGTAGGCCCTCACATAGTTTCAAAGGACGGGCTGGCCATGCCAGACAGACCAAGCATACGATTAGAGGGTTGGAACTTTTAGCCACACCCCCAGATGTTCAGAGAGTAAAGAGGAGCTGGAGAAGGAAGTTAATAATGTGGCCAATAAAACTCTGGACACTCAAAGCTCAAGGAGCTTCCTGGTGGGTGAACACTTTGTGTGACTGGTAGTTAGTGTTAACGCCGGGTAGTTAGTGTTAACTCCGGGTAGTTAGTGTCAGAATTGAAATGAATTGCAGGATACCCAGTTGGTGTCAGACAACTGGTGTCAGAACAGTATCTATCACTCATTATTCACCTACCAACTAACAAAATTATTAACTGTTTTCCACCAAAGTAGTACATTTTCATTAAGGAAAAAAAAAAGGATAACCAACATGAACATTTTAGTAGCTATACTTCAACATTTTTAACTCTACTAGGAAAATTCATCAAAGAGGTTACAAAACTTACCTCAATTTTCAATATGGAGGAAAATACTATTATCTATATCAAATTATGCCCAGATACCAAGGCCAATCTGTGTTTTTCATTCTCGTCAAGTGAAGAGGCCTATTATTTTAAACAAACTTCCTATATTCTAATTACACTGATGTGAAACCACACAATAAAAATCTAATATTCCCTTGTACTTCTTTCTTAAAGAATGGTTCTGGGCCGGGCGCGGTGGCTCACCCCTATAATCCCAGCACTTCCAGAAGTCGAAGCAGGCGGATCACAAGGTCAGGAGATAGAGACCATCCTGGCTAACACGGTGAAATCCCTACTAAAAATACAAAAAAAATTAGCTGGGCGTGGTGGCACATGCCTGTAATCCCAGGTACTCGGGAGGCTGAGGCAGGAGAATGGCGTGAACCCAGGAGGCAGAGCTTGCAGTGAGCCGAGATCGTGCCACTGTACTCCAGCCTGGGCGAGAGAGCCAGAAAAAAAAAAAAAAAGAATGGCTCCTTCCAAATATTTGAACGCCAATTTCCAAGTAAACTGTGGGGAAGGAATGACACCTAAATTTTTAAATTAACACAATTCTTTCAGGTAACTATATGCACAGTATGAGAGCAAAAGGAAGCAAACAAAAAAAGCCAATATATCAAAGATTTTGCTTAAAATCCTGTAAGCTTAGGTTATTGTCTTTAATGTAACCTAAAGGACTCCCAATATTTTTTAGCATGCCCCCAAACACAACAGGTATCATGTATTTAAACTCTCTCTCATTAAACTGGCCCACTTCTGCCCTTAAGCAGTTTGCATGTGATCAGTTACAGAAGGGTCCAGGATTTAACTATTTTACACATTCAGCTTATGTGCACAGACTGAGACTAGTATCCTTAGGAAGACCTGCTGCCAAGGTTGGCCTTTTACTAGATTGTGCAAATAAAAGCGGGTCATGTTGAATACCTGCTTTCCTTCCGGGAATCTGGAATTTTGGTACATGCAAAGCAGAAAGTGCCTACAGGACCAACCTACAATAGAAACTTTGGGTGCCAAGTCCCTAATGGGCTTCTCGAGCAGAAACATGGCACACGTCTTGCCAAATTTTTATTGCTAAAAGAATGCGCTCTGTATGACCACTCATGGGAGGGAGATAGCATAAGGAGGCCTGCACACTGGTTCCTCCAGACTCCACTTTGTCTTTTTCCCTTATGCTAACCCTAGAAAGGCTATATATGCTTATTATGTTGCTGTAACATGTCTTAGCTGTATGACTTTATGTTGAGTCCCATGATCTATGACCCGCAAGACACTGTCTATTTTTCGGCATTAAGTTGCCAAACCATAGAGGCAACCTTTCTTTTTTTTCCAACTTTTAAAATGCATTTTCACAATTACAGTTAAATAGTACATGTATGTATAATTAACAGTTAGATGTTTCTGGTTATAATTCTCCTGTTGCACTTTCATTACTAGGTTAGAACTGTCAATAAATGAGATTACACATACAGAACACAAAACCACAGCTCAGTAATTACTTCTGACTTAGAATAAAATGTTACACTGGTTTTTAGGCAAAATGATGCATTTACCTAGCAAAGCAAGACTTTTTTTTTTTTTTTTGGACAGGGTACCTTTCTCCAAAAAAAAACGAAGAATGGTATTTCCCAAACTTGTTTCCTAATCTCATTCCCAGCAAGACACTTTTCTTCTTTAGTGATGCAGAAGATCCTTTTACATATTAAACTAAAATATATAGTTTATGTCCTACTTTCAGTTAATGTCATTACTATCAAGTTCCAGGCTAATAAAAATAGGAACTTGGGGGAACCTCCTCTTTTGGCTTTGGTGCCCCCCTCCCTCTGTCTCTGTAGGGGGATCTTCTTCCTTCTGTCTTTTCTCTTCCTCCTTGCCTGTTAAACTCTCCACTCCTTAAAACCACTCCACACGTGTCCGTGTTGTTTTATCTAAACCGGCCTCAGGAATAAGAACCCTGGTGTTCCTCCACTCATCAGAGCCGTATCATTTTGGTGCCTGGGCCGGAAAAGGAAAATTCAATCATCAGACATGTTGAGTATGGAGCGGATTTCAACTTCAAATCTGTCCTTTAATCTCAAGGCTCTCTTCCAGCTACCTTGTCACCAAACTTTCTATTAGTAGTCTCTTACCCTCTCTCTGTGTGTGTCTAATGTGCAGGAATCTTTACAGTTCAGGGAAAACAGGTCTGTTAGAAACAATCGTGAATCACGGCAGGCAGTAACTCAATAAATGCTTCTCTCTCTCTGTTTTCTCTGGCAAGCACATGGTATTTCTAAGCCACCTAGTAGAAATCAGGTTCTAGGCCTCTTCTGGGAACGGGAAGTTTCTGCTTTTAACAGTTAGGAGTAAGATGTCTTCCGTAGCCCAATTTTAGTCTCGATCTTGTCCCACTGGCAGGAAAACGGCCATTTGGCTCCTATGTTCCTTTAAGGCATTGATTTTGTCTCCTATTAAGACAGTACTTAATTAGTAAGGGGATTTTTCAGTCCGGAAGTTAACCAGAACCATTATTCTACGAGTAAATGCTTTAGCATGGGCTATAATAGCAGAATACACAGTTCAATCTTGCACTCCCCCCACCCCACCCCTTAAAGGGGCCTTGCCCAATTACATGGTTTTTCTTGAAATCCGTTTTTTGGAAGGCACACAGGCCATGCAAGTCTAGGACGTCAAAGGGAAATAAAAGGCAGAGAACTGATTGATTGGGGACAGCGTGAGTAAGGAACTCAGTTCCTCTGGTGCCATGGCTTGGAGGGGCACATTGCAGTCATGGGCGGCACATTTAAGCGGGTGCCGGGAATCCAAGAGCCCCGGAGAGAAAATAGTTGGGGGGACGCCCTCTATTGTTTTCATCTCCAACCTGGATCACATTATGAAAGGAAGCAGACTAAAAGGATATTTATTCTCACTTCTCTTTCTAGATGGGTAACACTCCCCTGGAGCGTATGTTGAAGCACTGGGACTCCTTCGACCTTGCAACTTTGAAGAAAAAGTGGCTTATTTTCTTTTGCACAAGGGTATGGTCTTTTTGCTAGACCTTTGCAAATGTTGCAAGGTCAACCCGGCTCTTTTAGCAACTATATCGGGCAGGCCCAGGAAAACTAGTTCCCCAAAATTAAAAAAGTAACTTTCAAGGAAATCATTCTGATGGTCCCTCTTATTTGGGGCCCCTTCAGTGACCTTAGGCAAGTAAAGGGAAACTGAGGCTGATTTTCTGATGACCCTGATAGGCATACAGAAGCTTTCCAAAATTTAACTCACATATTTGACCTCATATGGAGGGATGTTATGTTGCTGCTAAGTCAAACCCTCACTGCAGCTAAAACAGGCAACTCTGCAAGCAGAAGAAAATTTTGGAGATGAGCAATATGTCTCCTATAGTGGTCCAGAAGGGAAAAGAGAAAAATAGGGAAGGCAAAGAAATAGGGGAAAAACCATTCCCAACAGGAAGAGAGGTATTACCTCTTGACAACCCTAATTGAAACTCCTTTCTATGGTGTTTTTCCTTCTTTTGTGGTTTAAAATGGCTTCTATCTCTTTTATAATGTTCTTCCAACCTAGGAAAAGTTAATTTGCCAAATCTTAAAATGCTTGGCATAGACCTGAGCTAGGGGAAAGGGAACCCAGAAGCCTGATATGCCAGCAAAAGGGTAAACATTTCTTACCAGTTGGGCTTTTGGCTTCTCTCTCCTTGTGCCAACTGGTAAAAGGGATAATAAGGATCACTGTTGACGTTCTCTGTAAATGTATAATTAATGAAAAAGGATTTGTAAGGTTGGTCTTAAGCTGCAGACAATCTTGTGTGCTTTGCATGCCTTTCTGTATCCTTCTGTCGAAGAAAGGGAATCTTAGGTTAGGTTGCAGGCCCAGGACCCCATAAGCCTGCTGTTCAAGCCAGCCCAGCAAAGCGGTCGGTGGCAAAGTCAGCTACAGGCCTCCATCTTGTTTCATGTCTTTGGGAACGTCATCTGTAACCGCATGGCAATACTTTGTTTTAGTCTCTGCCATTTTACAATGGTGGCTGTCTTTTTGTGCTAAATAAGATAAGCCAGTTTGTCAATCTGGGTGGTGCCAGCTGATCCATCAAGGGCAGGGTTTACAAAATATCTTAAGCACTGATCTTGAGAGCAGTTTAGGGAGGGTCAAAATCTTGTGGCCTCCAGCTGCATGGCTCCTGTGGCTAGTTTCTTGGTCTGGTCCCCAGGCAAGAGGGAAATATATCTTGGGAAGCCACTGTTATTGTCTTTGTGTTAGACTATAGACTGTAAACCAGGCTCCTCCCAAAGTTGGTTTAGCCTATGCCCAGAGATGGGCAAGGACAACTTGAGGCCTGGAAACAAAATGAAGTTGTTTGGGTGGGATCTCTTTCACTGTCTCAGTGACAGTTTTGCAATGACAGTTTCAAAAGCTATCACTCCTTTAAAAATACCTTGTACACTCGTAATTAAATCATAACCTAATTAAAGCTCGTTGGTTTCACCTGTAAGGGTACTTTTGGTAACGTTCAAAAGCCGAAAATCTTAACTGCTTGGTGTGGTTAAAGTCAAGTAATAAGGGATTTAAAAGGATTTTCCTAAAGAGTGCTCAGCTTAATTAAAAGTAAATGTTCAAGTTATAGGTATATTTAAAGGCCTTTATGCTTTTCTCTTCTTGAATCTTGCTTTTCTGGAAAAGGGCTCTTTTCTTCTCAGTTGATTGAATTATTTTTCTCCATTTTTTGTCTCACCACTCTTAATGCATGCATATAAAGTCCTAAAATAACTTCTGGTAGTATGGGACTCCTGGGGAAAAAACAGAGGAGGCACCACAAACCCCTTTTTAGGAAAAAACCTGTTTTCCTCATGAAACCCCAGGAATTAAAAGGAGATAGATCCCTCTCAAAATCAAAGGCTTTATTCTGTTTTGCACTGTGTTATCTGACGGTTTTGAGTTTTGGGGGTTATCAGAAATTACTTTGCATTATGAGAGCGCTTTGGTGTGTAATAACTAGGTAGAAAATACACAGTAAGGGATGGCTAATAGTAGTTATAAAACAGAGAAGCTAACAGCAATAAGAATAACATACTCTTTTACATTATTATATGTATATAATAATAACAATAATGTCTAACTTATTGGAAGCCTATTCTTTATCAGGAACTATATATGCTTTACATGTATTATTTCATTGAATCCTCACTGTATCCCTGTAAGGGAGGTGTTTTTAGATGAGTCGACTGAGGACCAGGGCTGCTAAATCAATTGCTCAAGGTCAAACAGCTGGAGTGGAGCTGGGATTAAATTTAGGGAGTCCAAGTAGCGTCTGGCTCTAATAGTTAGGCCTTTATGTATCTATGCTATTGTCTATATATCTACACTGGAATCTGTATGTCTATCAGCATCTGCAAGTGCATTACACATTATCTATCTCTATCTCTATCTACTTTGTATATTAAATTAAATGTTTGTAAAAAAAAAAAAAAAACAAAACAAAAAAAACAGAGAAGCATGCTCTTGGCCACCTGAAAAATATGGAAACATCCCCATCCGCCACTGGGAGATGAGACTCCCATCAGGGATGGGCTGATTACAAATAAGCCAATTGGCTTTGGGTTGCCTTGCAATGAAATGCATGGTAGAAGCACTACACCATCTTCTCCCGTAGCATCTATATGGTCTTTTCATGAATTAAGCATTAAAATAAAAGCATAGCAAGGAGGTCTTAAGACACTAATCTGCCCTTTAGCAAAAGGGTTACAAAAGGTTTGTAAAGATTTCACCTCATGGTCAAATTGGTTAGGATTAGATGGGATTATCTATAAGGGTTCGTGGAAATGAATTGGAGTTAACATTAATAAACTAATGCAAGGGTAAAATTTTGCTTTGAACAAAATTTTCATGTCATAGTAAAGGCTGATGAAACGTTTTTGCCTTTTGAATTATTGTTTTTACAAAATAATTTATGGCAATCTGGAAATTGTCCTTACTGATGCCTGGCTTTTTGGATGGTTCAGAGGGCCCCTAAAACATTCAGAAAAGAGGTAAACAAGATCATTTGACATGTTTAGTCACACGAGATTGCCAAAATGATGTCCAATCTTCTTTATTGTTATAAAGTTATATTGTTATATTGTTATAAGTTACATTTTGGTGAATAAATACTAATACGTTCCAAAATTGTATGGGATTTCTAAAATTCTAATGTCTACGTATATGCTATCAATCATAATTAAGGGTAAAGTTACTGTAAACCATGAAGATAAATAAACTTCTTTCTTAGTCATATATTTAACCATAACTATCCTGGAAATTTGTGATTCGCAGACAATTGTCTTGCTTTGTTCCTTCTCAAAAGACAGTTTATAATCAAACTATATTAAGGACTTTAACAGGTGTTCTCAAATGCAGGTTTTTAATAGCTTTAAAGATTGTAACATTGAAATAAAGAATGTATGGGACTCATGAAGAATTGACATGTTGACAAATATCAAGCAAAACAAAAGTTAACTAAGTGGACTACACTCAGAAAGTTAAAGCAACCTTTTTGACTGTTGCTTGAATATTGCTAATCTTTGTTTTGATTTTCAGAGTCAAGGAAAGTTATTTTAAACTATTTATGGGCTTTAATAATTGAGTAAGGTATACCCCTGTGAACAAAATTTGGAGCATGTTTACTTTTCTCTGCCTGGTTCCTCTAGAATTTGGAAATTATCTGTGAGTACTCTTAACTTATGGCAATATAGTTGTTTGCATCAGTGCGATACGAATCCATTTTTCTTTGTCAACAGGATACAACTGGAAAAACTGGTTATTTTACCAAGGCTTTGACTGAAAGGGTGTGTTTCCCTTTAAGGAATCAAGCTTGACATGCAAAGCCAATAAAAGCCCCTTGGGGAGAACTGGCCTCATACCTTCTCTGCACAGTCCCTGCACAGTGTTCCTAACCTGTGGTCAGTAAAGAATGTCACTTACTAACAGGTATAGAAGCTCTGAGTTTATCTTGGGACCTCAAGAGGAGAGGATTACCCAACTCACAGGTATTACAGGATACAACCCATGGCTGGGCTCGGCTTTAAAAGTCTTATCTGAAATTCCTTGTGGAACAGAGTTTCATCAAAGCCAAGCCAAAAGGCCTATGTAAAAATAACCATTCTTGCTGCACTTTATGCAAATAATCAGGCCAAGTATAAGACTAAAGTTTATTCATAGTTTTTACCAAAAATGAGGACTGGAGAGAAGAATTTTGCTCCAAAGTTTACCATACATTTGTCATTAAATCCTACTCTCATTGTTTTTAAGCGTTATGCCTACATTTTAGACTAACCCTGCTTATTCCTGTGAATCAAGTGATGATCTTCTGCAGCTTGGAAAAAAAGAAAAGGGATGGGTAAGGTAAAAATGTGAATCAATATGCTAGTTCTGGGCAATTATCTTGCAAATTCTGCCAAGTAATGAAAGTGAGTAAGTGCCCATAACCCGGAGGTTTCTTTGTCTGGGAAAATAAAACAAGGAACTTCATAGACCCCCAAAGGGGAATTCCATATCTCGGCAAGTAAAATTTTAGATGGAAATTACCTACCACACCACATTTGTGGGAACTGCTGTCCTCATTCTACTATTTGCAATAGCATTACACGTGGTAGCACCTTCTAACTGAAATATTGGACAGAGTTTCCATTACTGTAGTATTTTGCTTAATTATTATCCTTATAGCAGGGATAATAGTTGACAAAAAGGAAGCATGAAAGTTTTACTATCACTGAGTCTGCTAGGACTTTTTATTAGGTTTAGTAATGTAGTTTTAAATGAAACATGCTGCTTTTGGATTAACAACTCTAGTAAAGTAGAGGAAAATCTACAGGTACTTAGAAATCAAATCAAAATTATTGACAGGCTCAGGGAAAATGCCGGCTTCAGCCCCGAGTGGCTACAATCCCTCTTTAATAAATTCCAGTCTTCTTTATGGAATTGCTTAATCCCTTTATTAAGCACTCTCTTGCTTATATGTCTTGTATTGATATTTGGACCCTGTATACTCAATACTATAGCTCAAATTGTTTATTCTCACCTAGAAGCAATCAAACTTCAAACAGTGCTGTAAACTGAACCACACATGGACAATGCCATTCTTCTGAGGATCCTTAGATCAACCCAAGAAGGAGCCTTAGCTGCTGTTCCCCATTCGATGCCCCTTTTCAGCAGGAAGTAGCCAGAAAGAGTCGTCACCCCAAACCCCCTAACAGCAGTTAGGGTGGCATCTCCACAGGGGGGAATGTTGTAGGAAAAGGGGTCCTTGGTAAGTTTTCGTTTGTTAAAGCATCTCTGGGAAAGTTTCTTGTAAAGCTCTGGCTCTCAGAGCCAGGCCAGCAACTTTTGATATGCAAATGCAGGCCATTAGGAACTGTGCCCACCCAAACATGGAGATTCCCGGGGCCTTCTTACCCTTTCCCCACAGGTTCCTGGCAACATGGCCGCCCCCACATATCCCCACATGTGTAGACTATCATGGTGCCCTGCATTTGCATATTAAAAGGCTAGGGTGGGGGGGTGAGCTTTTTCACAGGCCATGTGAATGAAATGCCTAGTCAAACCAATCCCTTGAGCCCTATGCAAATCAAACACCGCCTCCTCCAGCCTCTGCATATATACCTGGCTGGTATTGTTGGCAGGCAGGGACCTCCACTTTCGGCTTTGGAGCCCCACTCCATCTGCCTCGGTACAGGGGGAGCTTCTTCCTTCTGTCTTCTCCCTTCCTTCTTGCCTATTAAACTCTCCACTCCTTAAAACCAAAAACAACAACAACAACAACAAAAACAGGAACTCATACTTTTCAATTACAAATAGTACATTCAATCCACCCTACTTGGATGACTACAAAGTTCGGAATCTTTCAGTGGCCCATTGTAGCTAACTGCATAGACTTGACCTCCAGCAACCATGACTCAGGACCGAGATAAAGCATATGCTGCTATCTCTAAAATGACAAACTTGGCTGGGCACAGTGGCTCAGACCTCTAACCCCAGCACTTTGGGTGACTCAGGCAGGTGAACTGTTTGAGCCCAGGAGTTTGAGACCAGCCTGGGCTACTTGGCAGAAACCCCGTCTCTACAAAAAAAAAAAAAAAAAAAGTCCAAAAAATTAGCCAGGCATGGCGGTACACATCTGTAGTCCCAGCTACTCAGAAGGCTGAGGTGGGGGAGAATCACTTGAGACTGGGAAGTTGAGGATACAGTGAGTCATGATCATGCCACTGCACTCCAGCCTGAGTGATAGAGACCCTATCTCAAAAAATTAAATTAAAAAATAAATAAACTGACAAAGTTAATTATCTAGGTACAGTTAAAAAATGAAGGAGGTTCTCCTAACAAAACTATAGTAATTGATTATTATCATATTATCTTCTCTAATACCTCCAAATGCATTTTCCTCCTCATGCCCACTTTGGAACATATCCATGCTATCAGTATTTTTGTTAGGCTCTTTTCCATGGGTACGAACCATGTTTCAGAGTCCTGAGAGTATTCACTGCACCTTCTATGACTAAAATTACATTTGGTAAGGAAACAATTAGTCAACTGCGCAAAGATAAATTATAAGGACATTCAACACAGCTGACATATAATAAGAAGGTGAATAATCTTCAATATGCCAGTTTATTAATTTACTACAATATACCCATCAATGTAACCAGAATACTTGTTTCCACATAAAGACTACATTCTTTTCCTATAGCCAAATTATAATCATAAAATTGCTTAATTAAGCACAGAATCAAAACAGGTGTCACAATTAGATAAAATATATGCTCAATACTATCAAAGAAGTCTGGCATTTTAAAGTCTATACAAAGCCCAGACGTGGTGGCTCATGCCTGTAATCCTAGCACTTTGGGAGCCCGGGGCAGGCAGATCACTTGAGGCCAGGCATTTGAGACCAGCCTGGCCAACATGAAGAAACTCCATCTTTACTAAAAAATACAAAAATTAGCTGGGTGTACTAGCACAAACCTGTAATCCCAGCTACTTGGGAGGCTGAGACATGAGAATAGCTTGCACCTGAGAGGCAAGGTTTGTAGTGAGCCAAGATCTCGCCACTGCACTCCAGCCTGGGTGACAAACCGAGACTCTGTCTCATAAAAATAAAATAAAAGTCTATACACCAAAAGTTTCATAGTTTTAGTTGAGTGACAAGATTATAGCTTATCTTGATTATATTTATTTCTTTATGTGGTATCTGAATTGTTTATAAGTATCTCTGTCCTTTTATTTATTTATTTATTTTTTGAGACAGGGTCTTGCTCTGTCACCCAACTTGGAGTGCAGTGATGCGATCATAGCTCATTGCAGTCTTCAATTCCTGGGCTCAGCAATACTCCTGCCTCTGCCTCCACCTCCTGGGCTTGTGAAATTGGCAGGTAAATTTCTAAAATGGTCTCATGACATTACTTCAGACTACAGCATCTGGCTGACATTCTCTCTAACACTGCTGCTTCAGTAAGAGTTGGAACAGTATAAACAGAAGCATCTTTAGAAACGTATATATAAGATGAAGGGCATATGTGCTTAGTGGCCAAGATATAGAAATGCAATATGAACACATCTGAATCAAGTGGTGGCCACACTCACATTCCCATCTAAAGGAAACTGTTCCACCCATAGTTCTGGAGAACATAGTTCTGGGAAGCAGTCCTAGACAGCAATGATTTTTAAAATATGATCTGCCTTGTAGTCCAAAGCAGAAAGTACCAGGTGTAGGGGACACTTCCCCAGTGCCATTATATATCATCACAAGACTCAAAAAGTGACTGCCCAAGCAGGGCAGAATTAAGTCACTGAAATTCTTACACTAAGGAATAAAGTCTGTGAAATGCAAAATAAATAGAATTTGTGGAATGCAAGAAAGTTGGAAAACATGAAATAAATCCCTTTGAGCACTATCTCATACACCCGGGCAACAAGCAACATTTAATTATGAATAGTTGAAAATTTATGGGGAAGCAGAATGCAGACTAAGCTAGGAGGTACAGTAAAGGTTGACTCAACAATGAGAAAGGCACTGAACAAACACACCGAGGAATTAAGAAATGTTAAAGGTGGTATACTAGGATGGATGACACAAACTCTTGCTGCTGACATTCCCAGATGTGTCTTGGAACGAATTTCCAAACTCAGGAAACCGAATTAAAATTTTTTTTTAAATTTTAATTGTCTTTACTCAAATTCCTTACTTGACTTCTTATGAGATCCCTGTCCATCTTAGAGGCTGACCAAGCACCGCCTTGGGTGGTCCGAATTGCTTAGGTGGTCCCAATTGCTTGGCTGGCCCAAGAGATGTCTGTTTCTTAACAATACAAGAGCCTATAGAAATTGCTAAAGAGATTTCAGCCACAACTGAAGCTCACCAAGAATGAGTTTTCTGGAAGTGGTTAAAGTGTCACAGTAGGGAGTAAGGAAGTAAGACTCCCCACCAAATGTAAGAGAACAGAATGATAATAGTCCCTACTAGTCCATGACAAGGCTGCCAATTAGGCATTTAAAGCTATCAAAGATGATGCTGTGAGGGACCTGGCAACTTTTGTAATAGTCTGACTTTCAGTGTTTTACTAATGGCCAAGCAGCAAATATTTTAGGATTTGTAGGCCATATGGTCCCTGTCCCCATTACTCCACTCTGCTACTGTAGCATAAAAGCAGCTATACACAACACATATGAGTGTGAGGCCAGGTGCAGTGGCTCACACCTGTAATTCCAACACTTTGGGAGGTCCAGGCAGGCGGATCACCTGAGATCAGGAGCTTAAGACCTGCCTGACCAACATGGAGAAACCCCGTCTCTACTAAAAATACAAAATTAGCCAGACGTGGTGGCGCATGCCTGTAATCCCAGCTACTAGGGAGGCTGAGGCAGGAGAATCACTTGAACCCGGGAGGCGGAGGTTGCAGTGAGCCAAGATCACACCATTGCACTCCAGCCTGGGCAACAAGAGCAAAACACCATCTCAAAAATAAATAAATAAATAAATAAATAATTGTGACTGTGTTCCAATAAAACTTTATTTATGGCCACTGACACTTGAATTTCTTATAATTTTGATGTCATTAAGTATTATAATTCTGATTTTTTCAATAATTAAAAAATATAAACAACAATCTTTGCTCAGACTATACAAAAATAAGTGTTTGGCCAGATTTGGCTCTTGGGCCAGTTTGCTGGACCCTGATACAGAGAACTGAGAGGCTGCATCAAAGATGGTCCTTTAACTTACTTTTCTTTGAAGATGCTGTATTTTAATATTCTCAAGGATATTCTGATGTCCCCATGGATATTCAGTGTAAACTGCCTACTTAGTGAAATACTGTTGCTCTATGTTTCTTACCATTTTATCCATTTTAAGTGTATACAGTTCAGTAGTATTAAGTATATTCACATTTTTGTGCAACCAATCTCCAGAACTTTTCTCATCTTGCAAAACTGAAACTCTATTCCCATTAAACAATGACCCTCTTCCCCCTACCCCAGCCCCTGGCAACAACCCTGGTACCCCCTGACAACTACTTTCTGTTTCTATTAATTTGGCTCATGCTTCAGGCTACCCCATACCATCATTCTGGGACGCAAGAACCAGACAGCAATTTGTGTTACTATCTAGAGTGGCAGAGGTGAATACATTAGAGATTCCATACATGAAAACTGTAATATGTTAAGGGGCTCTAGATTAAAAATATGTAAATAGCCAGGTGTGGTGGCTCACGCCTGTAATCCCGGCACTTTGGGAGACAAGGCAGGTGGATCACCTGAGGTCAGGAGTTCAAGACCAGCCTAGCCAACATGGTGAAACCCCCCCCATCTCTACAAAAATACAAAAACTAGCCAGGCATGATGTCGGGTGCCTGTAATCCCAGCTACTTGAGAGGCTGAGGCGGGAGAATCGCTTAAATCCAATTGTAGTGAGCCAAGATCGTGCCACTGCACTCCAGCTTGGGCAACAAGCAAGACTCTGTCTTAAAAAAATAAAAAAATTATGTAAATAATATTAAATTTAAGTAATATGTAATTATTAAGAAATGTCTGTCTGCCTGGCGGCCACATAATAAAATACACCTGTCACATCAGTCATGGTGTCTGACAACACACCCTCAGCCTTCTAAGAAAAACAGAATTGCACAAAATCTTAATACATAGCCATAGAAAATAATATTTTATTTCATATGGCACCAAATCAAAGGACAACCATAGGGTAAGCCATAATCTTATGACAGAATCTGAAGTGAGAAGCTCTAGTCAAAAAAACAGTAATCTGAACCAAGGAGACTGTCTGGCTCCCAGAAATTTGAATTGCTGAACAAAGAATCACATAAACATCAGCAAAAACTGAAGCTGAAAGGTTTCCCAAAATAAAAAATAAAGGTATGAGGGATGCATAAGCATGTTCAGTTGTCATAATGATTGGATTGGGGTCACCACTGATACTTAGTGGAAAGCAGTCAGAGATAGAAGATATTCTGCAATGGGCCGGGCGCGGTGGCTCAAGCCTGTAATCCCAGCACTTTGGGAGGCCGAGACGGGTGGATCACGAGGTCAGGAGATCGAGACCATCCTGGCTAACACGGTGAAACCCCGTCTCTACTAAAAAATACAACAAACTAGCCGGGTGAGGTGGTGGGCGCCTGTAGTCCCAGCTACTCGGGAGGCTGAGGCCGGAGAATGGCGTGAACCCGGGAGGTGGAGCTTGCAGTGAGCTGAGATCTGGCCACTGCACTCCATCCTGGGCGACAGAGC